CTCTTCCTGAGTCTTTAGATCTTTTATTGTCTTCAGCTCAAAATAGTCCACATACCAGAGTGGCACATCTTGGGGCAGCCTGCCCTGAACCCCATCACTTGCAACTTTGCTGTAGTTGTTGATTATATCTAATAGTTTTCTCATGGATTCTTTAGGGTTTTCTATATATAAGGTCATGTTATCTGAAAACAGTGAGAGTTTCACTTCTTCATTGCCTGTTTGGATTCCTTCTTTTTCTTTTTCTTGCATCATTGCTCTGGCCAGAACCTCAAGTACTATATGGAATAAGAGTGGTGAGAGTGGCACCCTTGTCTTGTTCCTGTTCTCAGAGGGATGGCTTTCAGTTTTTCCTTGTTGAGTATGATGTTTGGTGTGGATTTGTCATATATGGCCTTTATTATGTTGAAGTATATTCCTTCTATACTCATTGAGAGTTTTTATCATAAATGGATGTTGGATCTTGTCACATGATTTCTCTGCATCTATAGAGATGATCATGTGGTTTTTATTCCTCATTTTGTTAATGTGGTGTATCACATTGATAGATTTGCAGCTGTTGAACCATCCCTGCGTCCCTGGTATAAATCCCACTTGATCATGGTGTATGATCTTTTTAATGTATTGCTGTATTTGGTTTACCAATATTTTGTTGAGGACTTTTGCATCTATGTTCATCAGTGATATTGCCCTGTAATTTTTCTTCTTTGTGTCATCCTTGTGTGGCTTTGGTATCAGGGTGATGTTGGCCTCATAGAGTGTGTTAGGAAGTGTTCCATCTTCCTCAATTTTTTGGAATAGTTTGAGAAGGATAGGTATTAAATCTTCTTTGAATGTTTGGTAGAATTCTCCAGAGGGTTTTGATTACTGCTTCTCTCTTTACTTGTGACTGGTCTATTTTCTTCTTTGTGTCATCCTTGTGTGGCTTTGGTATCAGGGTGATGTTGGCCTCAAAGAGTGTGTTAGGAAGTGTTCTGTCTTCCTCAATTTTTTGGAATAGTTTGAGAAGGATAGGTATTAAATCTTTGAATGTTTGGTAGAATTCTCCAGAGGGTTTTGATTACTGCTTCTCTCTTTACTTGTGACTGGTCTATTGAGATTCTTCGTTTCTTCTTTATCCATTTCTTCTAGATTGTCCAATTTGTTAGCATATAGTTTTTCATAATATTCTCTTATAATCTTTTGTATTTCTGTGGTAGCCATTGTAATTTCTCCTCTTTCATTTCTAATTTTGTTTATTTGAGCCTTCTCTTTTTGTTTCTTAGTGAGTCTGGCTAAGGCTTTGTCAATTTTGTTTATCTTCTCAAAGAAGTAACTCTTTGTTTCATATCTCTTTGTTAATATCATAACTCTTTGTTAATATCTCATTGATCCTTTCTACTTTTCTTTTGTTTCAATTTCATTTATTTCTGTTCTAATTTTTATTATTTCCCTCCTTCTGCTGACTTTGGGTTTTGTTTGTCCTTCTTTTCCTAATTCTGTTAGGTGTAGTTTAAAATATTGCTTATTTGAGATTTTTCTTGTTTGTTAAGGTGGGCTTGTATTGCAATGAATGTCCCTCTTAGGACTGCTTTTGCTGCATCCCTTATGGGTTGGTATGGTATATTTTCATTTTCATTTGTCTCCAGATGCTTTTTGATTTCTCCTTTAATTTCTTCAATGATCCATTGGTTGTTCAATACCATGTTGTTTAGTCTCCACATATTTGTTTCTTTCCCAGCTTTTTTCTTGTAGTTGATTTTTAGTTTCACAGCAGTATGGTCAGAAAATATGCTTGAGATGATTTCAATCTTCTTAAATTTGTTGAGGCTTGTCTTGTTTCCAAACATATAATCTATCCTTGAGAATGTTCCAAGTGCACTTGAGAAAAATGTGTATTCTGCTGCTTTTGGATGTAAAGTTCTTTATATATCTACTAAGTCCATCTGGTCTAGTTTTTCATTAAATTCCACTGTTTCCTTGTTGACTTTCTGTCTGGATGATCTATTCGTTGGTGTAAGTGGAGTGTTAATGTTCCCTACTATTATTGTGTTGTTAATATTTCATTTTAAGTTTGTTAATAGTTGCTTTGGTGCTCCTCTGTTGGGTGCATAAGTACTTATAAGTGTTATGTCTTCTTGGTGGAGTGTCCCTTTTATCATTGTATATTGCCCCTCTTTGTCTCTCATTACCTGTTTTATCTTGAAGTCTACGTTGTCTGACATAAATATGACACGACCTGCTTTCTTTTGTTTGCCGTTAGCTTGGGGTATCGTCTTCCATCACTTCACTCTGAGCCTGTGTTTGTCTTTAGGAGTGAGATGTGTTTCCTGGAGGTAGCATATTGTTGGGTCTCATTTTTTAATCCATCCTGCCACTCTGTGTCTTTTGATTGGAGAATTCAGTCCATTTACATCTAGAGTGATTATTGTTATGTGAGGGCTTAACCCTACGATTTTATCACTCATTTTCTGGTTCTTCTGCATTTCCCTTGTTTCTTGTCCCATGTATTTCCAATTATCAATTCACTTTGATAGTTCTATATGATGGTTTTCTCAGTTTTCTCTTTATTTATTATTTGTGTCTCTGTTCTGATTACTTGTTTAGTGGTTACCATGAGATTTGTATAAAAAATCTCATAGATGAGGTTGTCCATTTTCTGCTAGCCTCTTATTTCCTTAGACTAAGTTGATTCCATCCCTTTCCCCTCCCCCTTCTAAGTTATTATTGTCACAACTTATTCCATCTTGTGTTGTGAGTTTGTGGCTAAAATGACAAGGTTATATTTATTTTAGATGTTTTCCTTCCCTTTGTCTTTAATGTTTTAATTGTTTGCTAACCTTTTCTGATGGAGAGCTGCAATTTTCTGATTTTGTCTACCTTTTTATCTCCTTGCTCAAGGCTTTGTAAACCCTTTCTTTTTTTTTTTCAGGTATGAGGGTCTCTTGAGCACTTCTTTTGGGGGCGTCTTCTGGTGATGAACTCCGTTAGCTTTTGTTTGTCTGGGAAAGTTTTTATTTCTCCATCATATCTGAAGGATATTTTCGCTAGATAGAGTCTTCTTGGCTGTAATTTTTTGTCTTTCAGAATTTTGAATATACTATTTCACACTCTTCTAACCTCTAAGGTTTCTGCTGAGAAATGTGCTGAAAGCCTTATAGGGGTTCCTTTGTAAGTTGTTTTTTCGTGCCTTGCTGCCCTTAGTATTTTTTTCTTTGTCATTGGCTTTTGCCAGCTTTACTAGTATATGCCTTGGAGAAGGTCTTTCTACATTGATATAATTAGGAGTTCTATTAGTTTCTTTCACTTATGTTTCCAACTCCTTTCCCAGGTTTGGGAAGTTCTCAGCTATTATTTCTTTGAATAAGCTTTCTGCTCCATTCTTCTTCTTATCTCTCTCTGGAATACCTATAATCCTTATGTTGCATTTCCTAATCAACTCAGATATTTCTCAGAGAATTTCTTTATCTCTTTTTAATCTTAGTTCTCTCTCCTCCTCCATCTAAAGCATCGCTATATTTCTGTCCTCCAGACCGCTAAGTGTGTCCTCCAGAATATCAGCTCTGTTATTCAGGGAGTCCAGATTTTTCTGTATCTCAACCATTGTATTTTTCACCTCCAACATTTCTGGTAGGTTTTTCTTTATAGTTTCAGTTTCTTTTGTAAAGAATTACCACTTTTCATTAATAATGTTCCTGATTTCATTAAACTATTTGTATTTTCTTGTAATTTGTTGGTTTTTTTTTTATGGTAGCTATTTTGAATTCTCTGTCATTTAGATTATAAATTCCTCTGCCTTCAGGATTGATTTGTGGGTGCTTATCATTTTCTTCTCGTCTGGAGTATTAATATATTTCTTCATAATGTTTGATGACGTAAATTTGTGCCTCTGCATAGTGTAGTATCTGGTTGCAGCTTCCACTTGCCATCACTGGATGGGGGTCAAGAGTTGTGTATTCTGAGCCCACTGTGTTCCCCAGCTCACTAGCTCACAGCTGCTGCTTTTCTAACATAGGTGTGGCCACTCGCTGACTGGCTGAGCTGGAGCACTGGGCAGTGGGAGGGGCACTTTGTTTTACCTGCTTCATCCTGGGGGCTTTCCTGCTCTGCCCTTGCTGTCTGCTCTCCTGGCATGCTGATTTAATGAAGACCCGCCCAGAATAGCTTAGCCACTTCTGTTTGGAACCTTCCCATGGGCTGTGAGGCAACTTGCAGAGCGAAGGTGTTCCCATGGAGAACCACCCCTCCCCCCTCTCCTCTAAGAGCCACCTGTGGTCGTGTGGCCTGGATCACTGCCACTGGGGGAGGGAGAGGAGATGCCCTTACCTCCTTCCACTTCCTCTTGGGGGTTCAGCACCTCCACCTTCAGATGTTTGGCTGCGTGGGCCTCTCAGACGTCTTTTGTGTTGTGTAAGTGTCCTCTGTTGGTTTATGAATGTCCTTTTCATTGTATCTTAGAGAGGAGAGTCTAAGGGAAGAACTCATTCTGCCATGATGCTGACGTCACTCCTTGAAAACATTTATAAATTATATGTACCGCAGTCTGAGGGAACTCCCTTCTTCCTCTGCATTTTGAGGAGAGTGATGTCTCAGTCTCTTAAAAGCTTTATTGTCAATATTGAGCCATCTGCCATTGGGAGTTTCACATAAGTAGTTAATTATAGCTTTTGACATCAGTTGTTGTGGCATTTGGGATAGGTGTGACACTTGGGCTAGGTATTTCTGACCAATATGCCTTAAGAGTATTGGACCTATAATATCTGGACACCTCCCTGTCTCAGAGAACACTCCCTACAAAATGGCTTCATGGTTGTGCCTCCAGTTAATCATTTGATTGCATCCTCTCTACACTGTGTTAGCACTGGGCATATGGAGTGGTTAGCACTAGGCATATAGAGAGGTAGAATGGGGTGGTGGAGTGGAAACCTGGCTTTGCTACTTTCTTTGTATGTAACTTTGGGCAAAACAAGAATGCAAGTTCTGTTTAAAAGGAGCAGCTGCTACTCAGCTCTGGCTGATTTGGAATGGTTGCAGCCGTTTGGGAATGTAGTCCTGGTAGGGCCAGATCTTCTAATTTTTCAAAAGAAGTTGGAAATCATGAGAAGTTCTAGGTATTTAAATGCAGTTAACTAATATAAAACTATTGAAAACACCCAGCAGCACAAAAAAGACTTGTATGTAGTCAGGATGTGGCCTAAGGACTACATCATGATCTTGTGCAAATCATGGTTCTGGGACTCCTCCACAGTTGGAGATCTAGACTTCTGTACAAATGTAGCTAATGGATAATGAAATGTTTTAAGTGACTTGCAGATGTTGTTTTGTTTGTTTTTGTAAAAAGTGTGCTATGTAATGTTTGTTACTTTGATGTTTGCTATTGTTATACGAAAAGAAACAGTATGGTGGTGGTGTTGGATAAAATCAGACTTCACAAAAATGTTAAGTCCAATGTCTTCATGAACAATTGTTTTTAGTGAAAGCAGTATTAATACTGAAGAGTTCACATATTAGATACAGTGTTAATACATAGTAGGCACTGAAGAAGTATTAATTGGAAAACTGGGTAGTTGGACCTATTTAAAATTCATTATGATAATTTCTGCTGCTCTTCTGTCAACTTACATCATGGCCAATGAAAATTCATTTCAGAGAGTTTGAAGAGTCTTTTTATTGATTGATTGATTTGGTGAGGAAGATTGTCCCTGAGCTAACATATGTGCCAGTCTTCCTCTATTTTGTATGTGGGATGCTACCACAGTGTGGCTCAATGAATAGTGTGTAGGTCCATGCCCAGGATCTGAACCCCTGAACCCTGGGCTGCCAAAGTGTGACCACTACGCCACCAGATTAGCCCCTGAAGAGTCTTTAAAATGTCTGAGAACTTATAATCTTAACTTATTTGTTTGCTCTGTGCTGATTTTTTCTTTATTTAGAATCTGAGAAATTAGTACATCATATTCTCCAGGATATGTACAAAACCAAGAAGACAGTGACTTGGGTTATTCTATGAATGTTACCCATCTCAGGCACATGCAAGGCTTTCTTAGAAGATAGGAAAAAATATGGAGAAACATTTTTGGAACCCTGGTTTAAAGCTCCAAACAAAGGGACATTTCGGATTGTTTACAAATCTTGAAAAAACAGTCACTTGAATACAGAAGTTATCAAATACTTGGCAGGTATGTTTCTGTAGTGATTTTACATTGGTGTTCAACAGTAAATACTTGTTCATGCTTTTAAGAATTTGTTTTTAAAGATTTAAGGCTTACATTTTTGAGTGTAGAACAAGTACATTAAAATGTCCTTAAAATAGGGGCCAGCCCGGTGGCGCAGCAAAGTTCACCCGTTCCACTTCTCCGCGGTGTGGGGTTCGCCAGTTCAGATCCCAGGTGCAGACATGGCACCGCTTGGCAAACGCCATGCTGTGGTAGGCATCCCACGTATAAAGTGGAGGAAGATGGGCAGGGATGTTAGCTCAGGGCCAGTCTTCCTCAGCAAAAAGAGGAGGATTGAGGGTAGTTAGCTCAGGGCTAATCTTCCTCGAAAGAAAAAAATTTTTAAAAAGTCCTTAAAATAATATCCAATGTAACTGGTTTCAATATGTTGCATATGAGATTTCCTGATAGTTAGATATCAAATCTTTTCCAAATCAAGATTGAATTTTCTTTGGGAAACAAAAAACAAAAATCTCTTTCTCAGGATTTCATTTGTATTTATTTATTGAAAAAGTTTATGGAATTTCATTGAGGTCCATGTAGTGGACTAGAATATATACGGTGAGGGTATTAGTTTATATACTACTTTAACAAGTCCCAAACAGAAAGAGATGAAAGATTGTTTTTGTATCCATCAAGCTTCATGTATCCTTCTCAGACTGTTTCGCTATTCTTTTTATTACAGGAATAGTAGACAGCCTCAGTTTGGAAAATAGAGTGGATTTTAGCAATCCACAGTACACAGTGGTAGTAGAAATCATTAAAGCTGCCTGTTGCCTGACTGTTGTGAAAGATGATATGTTCAGAAAATATAGTCTCCGGGAGGTGGTGAAGAATGCTAAGGACCCATCACAGCTTAATCCAAAGGAGGCAGCACAAGCAGGAAATGGGAAGAATCTAAATTGGAATCTGGTGACAAATCTAGTCAAAATGACCCAGCTGAAGGGTCGAATAACCAGCAGGTGGTACCAGAGGATGGTGAGGAGCTGGAGCAGACAGAACCATATCTGAGACTAAGGTGGTGAATGAGGGAGGAGCTAAACCTGAATTTGCAAGTCAGGTCACAGAAGGATGTGAGTCAAATGAAAATGGCCTCTCAGAGGAAAAAAGTCGATCAATGTTGGAGGTGAGTTTCTCCACTGGGGTTCTGTGGGATGTTTCTGGAATTCCATATAAAACTGTGACTGAAAATACAGTTTTTGAATTGTGTGTGCTGCATAATACTGTGCTCACAGTGGTGAACAATGATTGAGCAGCCCTGTTAACAGTTTTGTTAGAGATCTTTTCTGCTCTGTGTGGCAGTGTGCAGTCACCCACATGCGTTTGGGTGAGCTAAGAGAAGCTGTGGATAATTGGTGAACACTTGCACAGAGAGGAGAGTGGTAGGAGGATGACGATGGCCTCTCCCTTATAACTACCTTTCCTAGCCTCTCCTGCACTGCCAGCTGACTTAGTGTGAGCAAACAAGCTTTGTGAAAGATAAACCCAGAGGGAAATTTTCATTCTAAGGAAGGAATTTTTTTGTGTTGCAACTCAGCTGTCCCCTGCCACTTTGTTGTAAACATTGCAAAAACATGGGTCATATAGGTTAGAAGTGAATTGTTCTGTGAAGTTTTTGTACTTTTTGTGATTTTCTTTTTTAGTTATTATGCCTGTTTTTATATTTTATTAACGTTTGTTGGTTACAAACAGATCTGACGGTCCAGTGCTGCAGTTTTTGAAGGCGAGGTATGAGATAGAAGAGGACCATTCTAGGTATAGAACTGCAGACATTTCCTATAAGGTTAGTGATGAAGAATTAAGTGTTCTGAGTTACTACAGTTTACTGGAGCAAAAAGGGACACAAAAATTCTTTGTTTACAAGGAAAGCTACTTCTCAGTGGTTTTATAGCCACTCAAAATCCAAGCTGTCCTATTCCATTGTATGTTGTCTGTGGAATGCAACTTAGAAATCTGGTGTTTGCTCCAGCAATTGTAACTATAAATCATAGCCATTTGATAAGTAAGGGTGTTGATTATTTTAAATGGCTTTTGGAATATCAAAACAGTAAAGCTTTTGTTGGAAAATCACATTCAGTGAAAAGGTTTAGTAATCAAATTATTTAGTAGCATAATTTATTCTAGGAAAGAAAAATTCACATAGTTGGTAAGAATCTAATAATACCCACATTAAAATGCTAGGGCAAGAAACAGTACAAGAAATCAAAATGACTGTACTCTCAATTTAATAAATTGACCTCATGTGATGCTAAAGAGATTTGTATAATTAACTGAAAAGCAGCAGCTTCTCTATCTGCGTTGACGTGTCAACACATTTCACAAATATTTGTCATGGGGTAGCATTTGTAAGATATGTAAATGATACTGAAATTCATGAAAATGTTTTCTGCTGCTAGGCGCCTCCCCAGACACAGGCAAATATAAATTTAATGGGTCTCCTTATCTGAAAACCAAAGGTCTGTCATCTGTACTCCTGCTACCCCATCAATGATTGGCTCCATGACAAGTTTTGCCTCATTTTAATACAAGAAAATCCTGGTCTTGACATTACAGCACACTGCTTTCTTCACAGAGAAGTGCTGATATAAAATACTTAGCGATGAAATGGGGAAAGTTCTCAATAATGCTACAAAATTGGTTAACTTTATTAAAGACCCATTTATGCAAGAATGTTTTAAAAAAACCCAAAACTAAAGCCTGCCCAAAGAGCACCTAAAATCTTCTACATACAGAAATCCAGTGGCTTATCAGAGGAAGAGGTCTCAACAGGATATTTGAGTTGGAAGGTGAATTGCCAGAGTACTTAGAGATTTTGCTGAATGCTTTGAAGATAAGGAATGGCTGCAGAAATTAGTCTATTTTAGCAGACATTTTTCATTGTACGAACAAGTTTCTGCGAGGTCCTGGAGAAAATTCTTTTTTCCTAAAAGTGATAAGCTTCTTAGATAAAAAAGAAACTGAGTCTTTGGAACAAGCACATTGCCAAAGGAACTCTTGAAATGTTTCCACACCATTGGGCTTGAGAATGAAGGAAAATAGCAGCGTCTCAAGCCTTACTAAAGCTATCCTTGAAGAGCTGCAGAGCCAAATTCAATAGCATTTCCCCTCCTTTTCCCCAACACTGGTGTGTGACTGGGTGAGGGACCCTTTCGCTAAATCTTCTTAGCCTGAGACTTTGTCTTTGAGAGAAGAGAAAGAACTCTGTGAGTCCCGGTCAGACAGTTCTGGATTTGCGGGAAACAAGAGCTTCCTTCAACTTAGTGCTCACACTCACATACCATGAACGTTCCTTTAATTTGAAAGTTTTTCATGGGTTCCTCCAGGGTAAAACTACTGGAAAAAACTTGAAAAGACAAACACCGAAGAAGGCTACAAAATAAGATGTCCAGATTGAGAATATTAAGGGGTTGTGAAATTAGCTTTTGGAAATGGGTTTATTTTTAAGTTTTAAAAAGTTTGGAAGTATTATAAATGTTAAGACTTCCTGCACCAATGGCTGTTTATTTAATGGCTGGTGAACGTGGGCATATGTTTTTATCCTCTTAGCTAGTGGTCCAGCTTGGCAAACCAGGCTAGAAGGATTTGGGAGGGGCAAAGAGAATAGAGAGGGCCTTGCTAATGCAGACAGGCTGGAACTTCCTGATATATCTTTAGATATTTAGAAAGTTAGCTCTTAATAGGTTGAAGTCATCTTGAAAGGATGGTAAGAGCTTTGAAAGTGTCATTTGGAGGATAGAGTTTTATTTCCTTCATCAGACTTGTCCAAGATAAAAATACTTTTATTTTGATGGTGCGAGACTCTGAGACTCTGGGAGTAAAATTGGCCATCTGCTTACAGAACATACAACTCTGTGGAACGGGGCTCCTTTTGCTTTGTGAAAGCAGCTACTCCACAGAAAGATTTTGGCTTAGTGGTTTGGTTCTAATCTCCTTTTGAATTTATCAATATTTGTTAAGACCTGAGTGTGACAAAAACGTGTTCTTCCTCAGCTCTCAAGTATACTCTGTTCTGCCGGAATCTGAATTGATTCGTTGCAAGATTTGTTTTCAGGTTTATTTCCACTGACAGTTGAATATGTTATTTTATAAATGACAAGATTCCAGGGTGGGAATTGAATGCCTTTTTTCTTTTAATTTTTATTTTAAAAAATTATGTCAGTTAGGGGCCAGCCCTGTGGCCGAGTGGTTGGGGTTCACGTGCTCCGCTTCAGCAGCCCAGGGTTTCACCAGTTCGGATCCTGGGTGCTAACCTAGCACTGCTCATCAGGCCATACTGAAGCAGCATCCCACATAGCACAACCAGAAGGATCTACAACTAGAATATGCAACTATGTACTGGGGGGCTTAGGGGAGAAGAAGAAGAAGGGAAAAAAAAAGATTGGCAATAGATGTTAGCTCAGGTGCCAATTGTTAAAAAAGAAAAAGTTACGTCAATTAAAAAGCTCCACTTCTGTGTTGTCGTTTGGTAAACTTGTTTTGCACCATGGTGGAAAGAGTGTTAAAGTTGGTATTTTAAAACATGTTTCTCTAAGGTTAAACGTGATTTGTCAATGTTATTTTTACTTATATTTTGTTTTTGGTTTGGCCAAATATTCAGCTTGTAATTCATAGTTCTTGATATTTTCAGAAAAATCAAAATAAATTTGTTCCCCAAAGGTTGGTGTTCTGTACTTTCTCTTTCTGCCTCTTAGTAAATCTCTTGCTTAATAAGTAGATATATCAAAAAAGATGTTTCTGTGTCAAATTATGTATCAATAAAACTCATGTACATTGTCTTAAAAAGTGAAGATACAAAAATTTATTAGTTGCTCTTGAATAAACAAATACTTTTACATAATCCAAGCTTAAGATATTTTACCGTGAATTTGCTCCAAAATGAGGTATAGTAATACAGTAGTTAAATTCACTTATTGGCTTTGAATTGTTTATATTCCTTAACATTAATATTTTAAGCCACTTTAAAGAATGAGAAATATATAAAGATATTGAGCAGAAAGAATTCTGTCATGAACATTTCTCTTGGAATAGTTCTAATCTTTATTTTGAATTAATCAGGCACAAGATAAATTCATTGTCCACTGTGCTTTTCTAACTAATCGTTTGACCTTGCTACTTGGTTTGGTTATTATAAAAATTTTCTTCCCAAATATTTTTAGATTTTTATTTATTTTTGGCTTAAGTACAAAACAAAAACTCAGTTGAATTTTTCAACAGGAAAAATCTTAAGCACTTTAGAGAGTAGTCACTGAATTATCAGGAAGCCAGGACTAAAAGAAGCAGCCCTGTAACTACTTAATGCCATAGTTTTCTTATCAGCCTATGTCTGTCCCCATTTGTGATCTCTTAAAACATTTCTCTTGGTTTTCCCAGTGATTGTCTCTGGGAATTCTTTTTTTTTTTTTGAGGAAGATCAGGCCTGAGCTAACTGCTGCCAATCCTCCTGTTTTCGCCAAGGAAGACCGGCCCTGAGCCAACATCCGTGCCCATCTTCCTCTACTTTATATGTGGAACGCCTACCACAGCATGGCACACCAAGCGGTGCCATGTCCGCACCCGGGATCCGAACCAGTGAACCCAGGCCGCCAAAGTGGAACATGCAGACCTAACCACTGCACCACCGGGCCGGCCCAGTCTTTGGGAATTCTTGAACAAATTCCACTTAAGTAACAGAGAAACATATTATGAGACACTTGATTCCATTTTGACTATCCCAGCTGTCAATACAATAGGAGAGAGTTTTCTTGAAACTCTGGCATTGAGTTTCAGACTCTGGGGCTTTTCTTAGCCTAAGCTCATTGAACTTATTGGACACCAGAAACTGTTGTTTATATAGTAAAGAAGACAGTGGAGCTCCATCATATGAGATTTTAGTGCAAATTCACCTATATGCTTTTCTGGAAGAATACAATAATCTCTTGACTCCCTTGCTTTTCCCCAGTTTAAACCAGACCTAGGCCTCTACTGCCTCAGGGAAGTAGAGGCTGCAGCTAAAAGCAAAGAGAAACAGCAAGTTAATTCTTAGCTCTTGAGCTTTTAAGAGCTGGGTCCTGGAGTTTCTAGGGGAGACTTTTGAGAGATAATTTAGAGTATATACAATTTTCCCCTGTGCCCTGACTAGATAGTAAAATTCTCTTTGTTCCCCTCCCTCAAGATAGGACTACTGTATTTTAAAATGTCCTCAAACATTTCTGAAAATCAACTTGTCATTGATTTTTTGAATTTAATGGAGAAAATGTTACACATTCTTAGGTT